GGAGACAGACAGGAGGGAGAGAGGCCAATGGGGATGTTTCCTTACTGTCTGTCCTCTTTTTCTCCATTCCAAGGCCCCGTTAGAATTAGGTCTGTGTCCGATAACTGTGTCAACAGTGGATCGGGTAATGGTGATGGGAAGAGAATGGTCACTCCAAGGTTCTACAGTTCCCCGAAGAAGCGGCATCTGAGTCTAGCTGCTGACTCCTTCACAAGCCATTCCTGTCTCAATCTTGCCTTCTGGGACCGTGATAAATGAATGTGTGCTGTCCCTCCTTTACCTCTGACTTCCTATCCCACCAGGCCTGGGTCTTGTCTCCAAGGAGGAAGATTTCATTTCTGGTATTTGAGAAAAGTGGTCCTTCTGACCTGCGATTTCCCCCTCCAGGCAAATCTTGGGGCATGCCTGGCCTTTGGTTTGTGAATCTCCATTGCCTACAATTTATCACCTAGCACTCTCACCTTTTGTCTCTCACCCATGTCCCCCTCCTCGGCCTTTGAGCACCTCCAACCCTTCTCTTCATGGCTTCACCTTCTGAGTTCTTCTGCCTTTGTTGTCTCATCGCAAACCAGGGTGCTGAGGCCTAGCGTACAGTGGAGAAAGAGCAGGGGACAGTTAGGCAAACTGACATTGGTTTAGTGCGTATTATATGCAAATTCCTGTGCTAGATGCCTATGGCGGTAACTTCATTCCAGCCTAGCAGCGGCACTGCAAAATAATGGTCTCTGTCCCCATTTTACAAATGAGGAAACTGAGGCTCACGGAGAAGAAGTGGCTTGCCCTAAGGGGCTCTGGAGTCTTATGTCCTATCTACTATAAAATACTACTTTGAATCTTGGCTAACGTTTACTGAGAGCTAAGCAAATTACCCAGGTTATCTCATCTTCCAGAAACATTGTTATTCCCATTTGACTTTGCAGTAACTAAGAGTTAGTGTGAAGAGCTTGCTCATGACCCACATAGCTGAGTTATAGAACTAGGACTTGAATCTGGGTCTCCAGAGCCAAGTATTTCATCTTAGCTCCGTATACTTAGGGGCCCAGGTTCTAGCTTTGCCTTTGTTACTAACTTAGGGTGTTCCTTTAGGCAAATTATTTTCCAATTTCAAACCTTAGTTTCCCCATCCATACAAAGGCGTGGTCCAGTTGAGTTCCAAGATCCTCTCTTTGGAAATAGCTGGGCCCTTGGAGACAAAGCATTTGGTCATGTTGGAGAACTTGTCCTTCCCAACCTCATCTTGTATTTATGACTTAATCAGACAATGACTCTCCATCACCCAAAAAATAGAATACTTTACCATGGCTCAAAAGAGTCTGGATGGGCTGATCTCTACCAAACTGACTTGTCTCTCACCCATTCTGTGCACTTCAGCATTTCAAAAGACTGATGCTTTATGCCCTCTTTAGCCCAACTTTGGATGAGCTATCTCCTCTGCCTTCCCATCTACCTGAAAAATTTGTTTCATCATTGAAGACCTAGCTCAGATGTTATGTCCCCTGGCAAGATTTCTCGGAGCCCCCAAACTAATGATTGGGTGCCCACTTTATATATTCCCATAGCACCCAGCATGTTTTCCAACCCAGAACTCTCCCCCTAAATTAGAGGCTGTTACTATTTCTGTCTGTCTGTCTCCTGCCACTAACTTACATAAGTGCTCAAAGCTTAAACCAGTACACAGATCCTGATGGTGGAGGTGGTGGTGATGGTGAGGTACTTTCTGACATGTATCAGGGGCTTAGTGTGTGCCAACTACTTTTCTAAGAGAGTTTTACACTTATTAACTTATTTCATCCTCGCTTCAACTCCATGAGGTGGGCAAATGTTATTCCCTTTTTGTAAATAAGGAAATAGAAAGAATAAGTAGCTTTTTAAAAGCAAGAGGAGAAACAAGCTAGCACCCCTAAGTGCAGTGATAGGAAACACGTGACACCTGGCTGTGTCTGTTCGTGGTTCTCGCTGCTGGTCTTGACCTCCCCAGGTTTCATTCTCCTCAGTGCAGCTACAAACGTTTTTAAGCAGTTTGTCTCTGAACCTGCTACTTTGTTGCTTGAAAGTCTTCAGTAACCCCCCACTTACCCCTATTGAGGGCTTACTACAGATTCATTAATGTTTTGTTTTTTTAAACATCTTTATTGGAGTATAATTGCTTTACAATGGTGTGTTAGTTTCTGCTTTATAACAAAGTGAATCAGCTATTCGTACACATATATCCCCATATCCCCTCCCTCTTGCGTCTCCCTCCCACCCTCCCTATCCCACCCGTCTAGGTGGTCACAAAGCACCAAGCTGATCTCCCTGTGCTATGCGGCTGCTTCCCACTAGCTATCTATTTTACATTTGGTAGTGTATATATGTCCATGCCACTCTCTCACTTCGTCCCAGCTTACGCTTCCCCCTCCCCGTGTCCTCAAGTCCATTCTCTACCTCTGTGTCTTTATTCCTGTTCTGCCCCTAGGTTCTTCATAAACATTTTTTTTTTTTTTTTAGATTCCATATATATGTGTTAACATACAGTATTTGTTTTTCTCTTTCTGACTTACTTCACTCTGTATGACAGACTCATTAATGTTTCTTTTTTATTTTTAAAACGACCTTTGTGATAGATGTAGTCATTATTCCCATTTTATGGATAAGGAAACTGAGGCATAGCTGGGTAAACAGTTTCCTCAATATCACAGAGCTAGTAAGTGGCTGAGGCAGCATTTGAACCTGAGCAACCAGGCTCTAGAACCTGTGTGGTACACCATTACTCTATACAACAAATGCCCCAGCTTCTAAGCTCCAGTGGCTGGGCTCCTGCCACTTCTCCCGTTTCCCACTGTGAGCCCACTTGCACACCGTATTTCACCATGAAATCCCTTCTCTCTGTGCCTTTACCTAGGCTTCCTGTTATGCCTGTGCCCTCTTCTTTACCTAAACCTTACTCATTAATGAGGCTCAGCACAAGTTCCCCTTCTACAGGAAGTCTTCTTGGATTTCCCAATCCTACCTAGGCACTGTCCTCTGTTTCCCACAGCTCCCACGCCTTCTTTTATCATTGCTTTTGCCACGGGTGTTGCAATTTTACATCTGTCTGTCTTTTCCTACTGAATCGGGAGCTCTGCCGTATAATAAATGCTCTGTAAAGGAGCAACCAATTACTCTGTCTCCTTTAACTTCTCAACTGCCCCATTTGTCAAGTGAAGAAACAGGTTTGGAGACGTTAAGTAAAGTTCCCGAGGACACCGAGCTGCTAAGGAACAGAGCAGGAACTGAAACAAGGAGGGCTGAGAGTAAGCTCCTTGGGCTCCCCCTGCGGAGGCGCCTGCCAGAGGTGAAAGAGGCCTGTGGGTCGAGTGTAACTCGAGTGTGATTATGAAGCTATGAATTCTTGGCACCTCAGGAAATATTCCACCCAAGTGGTGAACTATACAAAGAGGACTTTTTGAAAGGCACCTCATAAATCGTGCCCACAAAAGCTACACGCATAAGCCCAGCCCTTTCCCAGCCGCCTCGCAGGTGCCTAAAACAGTCTCCCATTTGTGGGGTCTGTTGTCGTAAAACGCCCTCCCTCCTGGGGTCTCAGAGGGGCATGGAGAGGACAGCAGGAGAGAGCCTCTCATTTAGCCCCTCAGGATCCCTAGGCATCTTGAGGATGCTGAGGTGTAGAGAAAAATGGATTCCACGAGGAGATGGACACCTGGACAGCAAAGCTGACTTATGGTATGACCCGCGAAAAGGTCATTCCTCTCCCTCTCTAAGCCTCCTCAGTTTCCACGTCTTTAATGAGATTAGGTCAGACTAAGTCTCTGGTCCTCAAATGGGGTGATTTTGGTCCCCAGAGGACATCTGGCGATGTCTGGAGGCAATTTTATTGTCATGCCTGGGGCTGCGGGTGCTACTGGTATCTTGGAGGCAGAGGCCTGGGGATGCTGCTAAATGTCCTGCAAGGCTGTCCCCACAGCAGAGGATTATCCAGCCTGCCTGTCAGTGGCACTTCCGTTGAGAAGCCTCGGACTAGGTGATCGCAAAGACGCTTGCTTTCATTTCCTCTGCAGCCCTCGGGTCTCCCCGAGGATCCGCTGTCTGGTGCTACAGAAAGAGCTCTAGATAAGTGCCTAATGATGACCCCCACAGTCCAGGGCGCTTCTTGCTGAGACTAGTGTCCAGTATGACCTTGACCCTGAGACACCATCACAGCAATTCTCTATAATAGAAGCTACCATTAATGGGAGCTTTCTCAGGGCCAGCCTTTGGGCATTTGTCTTAGTTAATCTCACAGCCAGTTAGGCCACCATCACTATTTTAGAGATAAGAAAAATGAAATAGAGAAGTTCTGATTTGGGTATATGCATATAAAGGCTTTCATGAATTTAGAAGCACAGAGGACAAGATTTTATTCTGACTATGAGAAAAGAGTATGAGAGAATTAGAAAAGTAAGAAAGCGGACAGAGGGGGACTTGGTGGGTGTTCAGGCCTAGATCCAAATGCCCAACTCAATGGTCAACCTGATGTTTGACCTTGGTCAAGTAGTGTCACCTCTCTGAACCTGGGCTCCATGGCCATTGACTATATGTGGAAATAACAATATTTTCAGGGCTGTTGTGAAGATTATACAGAAATTTTTAAATGTATGTAAAGTACTTACCAGCATCTAGCTCATGGTGTTCATACGTTTTAGTTGTTGTTCTTGTTGTCATTTATCATTGTTATGATAATTTACACTTACTTGGTCAGAGTCCTCAGGCTGCTTACCTTGGAACGCTTGTATCTCAGAAGTGAAAGCGTTAGGTCAAAGGTTATACCGCTCTTCTACTTTTTACACATTGCACAGTTAAAGAGGACAAGTTCCAAGGGAATCTTGAACAGGCGTTCAAAGTACCACATTCAAGTCAGGCACAGCTAGGGAACTGTTGGGACAAGAAGTCCTCATCTGTCTGCTGACATTTACTCACCCCCCTCAAAGGCCTGATGCTCGATCTAGGCCCCTTCCGTCATTACCGCCTCCTCTGTCTTCCAGGAAGGCCCACCTGATCCTGCGGCGTCTGGAGAAGGTGAGCAGCCACTGTTCCAGCCTCCTCCGAAGCGCCTATATCCAGAGCCGCGTGGACACCGTGCCCTACCTTTTCTGCCGCAGCGAGGAGGTCCGGCCTGTGGGTATGGTGTGGTACAGCGTCCTCAAGGACACCAAAATCACATGCGAGGAGAAGATGGTGTCCATGGCCCGAAACACGTATGGGGAGTCCAAGGGCCGGTGAGGGAGGGTGCTGCCCTCCATGAGCACAGAGACTCTCCATGGGAGGGGGAGCGGTGCTCTCGTGGATCCTGGGGCCTGGGTGGGCTGGGGGACAGCTGAGGACGGGCCTGGCGGATGCGGCTTGCCAGCAAGGCCAAAGCAAACTCTTTCTCTTGTGGATAGCCGACAGAGAACTTTGTAACCCCTGGAATTATTCATTTCCCCCTATCTTTTATTTTTTTCTAAGATCTTATTTGACTCTATCACAGTCTCTCCTTTTTAAACACTTTCTTCTGGATGGTGGTCAGTCCCGAGGCAGGAGCTTTCAGGTGGAGACCAAGAGGCCTTTCCCCTTCTTCCTCCCTCCTGCTGCACTCAGCTTCCTTCCTGCCGTGGACCCCAGCAGGAGACCTATGGAGAGACAACTGGACCTCTTGAGCAGCAGGAGGGCATCCCCGAGGATCGTTGCAGTGAGGAAGCTTGGGTCTCTAGGACTTTGTTTTTCGGACACGTTTGAGTCTGCAGGACCCCTGCCTCTTCCTGCTGCCTGTGGGTCTGCCCAGAGTCCCTGCAGGGCTCTCCATGCATTAAAAATTCCTATTGTCTCTCTTTCTGCTCGGGTGCTGTTTCTTACTGATGGGGGACTTCCGTCTGTTCACTCAACAGGTATTTATTTGTTCTCTCCTGTACACTAGGCACGCCACTAAAGACAGAGATGTTCCCTCTCCTCAGGGAGTATACAGTCCAATGGAAATTATAGAGGTAGCCAGTTATTTCAGGCTGTGGTAGGGGAAGAATGGAGGTTCTCTGAGCTCATTGCTGGGTCGTGAGACAGCCTGGAGGGGTTCTGAAAAAGTGATGCCTATGCCCAAAAGATGGGGGGAGGAGAATGGGATTTGCTCCAGGCAGGTGGGACACTGTGAATAAAAGCCCAGAGATAAGAGAAAGTATACTCCTTCGAGGGCTGCAAGCACTTTCATTGAGACTAGAGATCAAAGTAGGAAGAAGCAAGAGGTAAGGCTGGGAGCTAGGCAGAGCATTAGAAGCCGTGGACAAAAAGTTTGACAGTATTTGAACTAACTGAAAACCACTGCGGAACGTTAGCAGAGGAGTCAACTTGCTCTTTAAGAAAAACCATTCCAGCGCCAGAATGGAGGTCGGACCGGAAAAGGCTTTGAAGACGGTGACTGCTGTCCTTTTCCAGAAGTGACGGCAGTTTGGATCTGAGGTAATGAGGGAAACCTTCCACCATTAAGTCTACTTTTAAATGGTAATTGTTTACTTCCGTTGTGTTCCCGGGGAGGGGAATGAATACAAAGAGGCTGTATATGTCCTTAACTTCCTGGCAGTAGCTCAGAGATGCTAGCTTGCTGGAGGAAATGGGATGTAGGTCAGGTGTTTCATGACGCGGGGACGACACCTGTTAGAGTGAAGGGCGCAATGGGAATTCAGAGGGGAAAATGCTGAATATCAGTAGAATAAAAGCAGTTGAAAATAAGCGTATTTCTCGGTTTTGACGAGTGCTGATGAGGTCCATAATCCCCTCCCCCAAAACCTACGTGCTGAGTTCCCACCAAAGGACCGTAATAATCCCCATGGAGAAATAAAGCAGAAGGAGATCCTTCCAAACGACTCAGGTGCCTAAAGATCTGCTCAACCTCCAACAATCTAAGCTCAAAGGTGCTCTTTTAAGAAATTTTACTATTATTGGATTTACATTTCTGTAAGTATGAAGGTGGAATTTAGATGAATAAATTCCCACTACAGTGTTCATGACTACCCTTCCAAGTATAGTACAGTCAGAGAAGAATAAACGTCTTTCAAAAAAAGGAGGATGAAAAGAAAAGGAATAGAGTTCTTGCCTATCTTAGTCAGTTATGGTATAAAAGAACATCATAGATTAGGTGATTTACAAACAATACAAATTTGTTTTTCACAGTTCTGGAGGCTGGCAAGTCCAAGATCAAGGCATCAGCAGATTTGGTGTCTGGTGAGAGCTGGTGAGTTCATAGGCAGCCGTCTTCTTGCTGGGTCCTCACGTGGTGGAAGGGGAGAGGGATCTCTCTGGGGTCTCCTTCATAAGAGCACTGATCCCATTTATGAGGGCTCCACCCTCATGACCTAATCATATCTTAAAGGCTCCACCTTTGAATACCATCACAATGGGGATTAGGTTCCAACATATGAATTTGGGGAGTGCACAAACATTCAGTCTGCAGTATTGCCACATGCCAGGCCCTACTCTAAATTGCTGTCATGTGTACCATTTCTGGAGCCCTAGGTCCCAGGCCTTTACCGAGTCACCCCATTGCTATAGCTTTCCCCTGTGTTGACACAACCTGAGGAACAGTTTAGCTCAACAGTTGCATAAAGTTCAATTCCCCAGTGCGCTGGGGCTGTGGTCTGAGCCTGATTAAGTTTGAATCTGCATCTGCTGCTATTCAGCAGCTATTGCCCTTGGATGAGTAATTTGATGTCTGAACCCCAGTGTCCCCATCAACAAAATGAGGTAAATGATAGTCTGTCCCCGTGGCGTTATTGTGAGGCTTGAGTGTGATAGCAACTATAACGCACCCAGCGCGATATAGAGTAGGGCCTTTTTTTCCTCCTAATAGACAATATGCGTAATGTTATTAATCTTGAAGAGATAAGTAGGAAACTGTCTGCGAAAGTCATAGAGGACTCTGATTAAGAGCAGGAATTAATGACTAGCATCCCTGTGAGGTATATGGGTTGTAAATAGTATCAAAAGTTTAACTCAGAGAGCAGTGGCTACGGTGGTGGAACTTAACACAATAGCAAGAGCCCCGAGAAGTATGTGCTTTTCTCTGAGGCTCTCACAGATGGCTGTGGCCTCTGGATAGCTGCCCAGTTTGCCAAAGGTGGCTGGCCCCTGCGAATATCCACCATCAGGCTGTGCCCAGCTCGTTCTCCCATCCACGCCCCTCCCTGGTTTCAGCCTGCTTTTCCTGGCACTGTGGAGCCTCCTGCCCTTCCCAGCCACCATAAGGCCCTCAGGAGTGGGATTGAGAAGCGTGGAGAGACAGGTGTGTGTGTGGCGGGGGGAGCCTTGCCATCGCAGGCAAGGAAGTTAAACCAGTATTTGTTAAGCTGTTTCATTGGAAAAAGAAAAATTCTTGAGGTACAAATGAAGCTTCTGGGTCCAGCGCACTGTCCTCTGCACAGACAGATTGATTCATGCACTGCCACAACAAATGCCAGGGAAGCTCTTGTCTCACTCTGCTGGCAAAGATGGGACTCTCCATATGGTTTCCACCACTGAATAGAGGAGTCGTGAACACACAGAGGTGTGTGTTAGGGGCGCACAGGAAATCGCCTCTACATGACTCCCATCCTCTGTATGGTCAAGAAGTGTCTTCTCTAGGCAGGTTTCACGATGGAGAGCGCGTTTCACGGACAAGTGCTGATAGCTACCATTTGGGGAGTTCTCCTCGCAGTGACTGGACATACTTATCACATTTAACCACGTGCAAAACATGCAAAACACTAGCCACGTGCTAGTGTGGTTACCATTTTTCCAATTAAAGAAAGTGAGGTTTAGACAGGTTGGGTAACCTGCTTCAAATCCTGTAGTTAGCAATTCGTGATGTTGAGATCCTGAGATCTAAACCTGGACTGACTTTAAGTATTTCAAACTGGTGAGTGCTGTGCTTACTACCTGCTAGGGCAAATGGGTGAAATGCCCCCCTTCTCCATCTTAAGTCAGAAACTAAGTCCCTCTAACTTCCAACCAATGCTTGAGTACTAATTTCCAGGTTTGGGGTACTAAGATGAGCAGGACCCAGATCCTGCCCTTAAGAAACTCCCAGAACTTAGCTAACTAAATACAGTGTGATAAAATCAGACATTTTGGAATCAAGGCAATCTGAGTTTAACTACTCAGATTATGGTGAGGGAGGGCTGGACCCTGAGAGAAATATATAAAGCAAACTCAACAGGTCTTGCTAATTAAGAGGCTCAGGTTAGCTGATGTTAACTTAACTTCTCTAAGCCTCACTTTCTTCATCTATAAAGGGGATGAATGCACTACCTCAAAGTACTGTTGGGAAGATTAAATTAGATAATGTATATAAAGCCTTGAGAATAAGGCTCTCAATAAATAGTTATTACAGTGGCTTATTTACATGAGAGGGGATGGGTGAGATTAACTCTGCATCAAGAAGCCAGTCACCAGGAAAGCCTTTACAGTCAAAGGATGTATAAGTTCAGTGAGTAGAGTGGAAGAGAAGGGGCATTATGGGCAGAGAGACCAGCATATTTCTGAGTGTGCCATGATTGAGGGATGGTGAGCAGTTGGTGTGGGCTGAGAGGGGAGGGTGTGTTTGGAGAAGTTGGCAGTATAGAGCACACCAGGCATTAGAAGGCATTAGATTGAAAGCAGGAGTGTGACATAGGCAGATAAGCATTTTGAAAACATGCTTCTGGTTGCAAAGTAGGAGACTGGGGAGAAGGGAGAGAGCCAGTGGCACTAGACAGCATAGAGTAGGGTAGGGTAGGGTAGGGTAGGGTAGGGTAGGGTAGGGTAGACTAGATAAGTGTTGTTTAGGAAGGAGAAGAGAATGCCTGAGCTAGGGCCATTGCAGTGGTGAGGCTGGATCTGAGGTGAGTCAACAAGACTTGCTAACTAAGAGGCCCAGGGACTTGGGTCTTCCCTTTCTTCTCTGGTGTCTGAGCGTTAGACTGGGCAGAACGTGGGACATGAAGTGGATGACAAATCCACTTGGGCTCAGTGGACAGTGCATGGATGAGGCAGGATTTGAATCATGCAAATATAGTCATTGGAAGGTAAGAGAGCCAAGAATATAATTTAGCTTTATGTGGAAGCCATGCATGGAACCGTGTGTCACTCTGCACAAATGCGTTATGAGTTCCAAACATCCCCTAGTGAGGGACTATATAAAGCCAGCAAAGAATCTTGTGGAGGAGTTAAGTACTGAACTTATGAAAAGAGTGCTGGATTCTTCATCATCTCCTCCTCTTTCTCTCTGCTTCCCCCTCCCACTCCTCCTCCTCCACCACCACCACCATCATCATCATCATCGCCATCACCATCACTATCCTTATCACCATTATCATTTAATTGATTGATTGCTTACCATATGCCGGATTCTTTACGTATATCTTTCATATACTTCTTACAACAACTCTGTGATATATAAATTATCACCCCATTTTATAGATGAAGGAATTGAACCTTAGAGGATTAAAGAAACTCCCTGGTCTCAGGCAGCTAGTAAGTGGCAGAACCAAAATTTCAATCCAGGTATCATCTGACCCCAGAATTTTAACTACTGTTAGAACAACTCTGTTGCCTTCTGAGGTGGGGGCGGGGGGGCTCTGGGCTCTAGTCTCGCCTGTGTAGTAGAGCAGCCGGGTGACCTTGAGCAAGCCATTCCCTCTCTGTGGGCCTTGGTTCTCCGTATGCCCCCACCATAGTGGGGAATATATATGTGCCATGGACCTGAGGAAGTATATTAGATGATGACTCAGGCATAAAGAACATTTTCACCTCTCTCTCCCTTTATTCTTCACTACCTCCCTTTGAGGTTGACAGTGGCAGAATGAATGGCTCCATTTGGCCAGTCTAGACG